ACCGCGGAATCGGCGGCAGATCTTACGCCTGCCTGGCTGGACCCGGGATGGGAGGGATGGGACCGCGTGCATGACCTCGACGCGCTCAACCTCGACCCGGCAGTACGTGCGGCAGTGGCAGATGGCATTCGACGGGACGTAGAGCTTGCTCGGTTCGGCGCCTGGACGGAGTACTACCTCGTTCGCGGAGGCGCGCATGGCGAAGGCTCACGTCGCTTTTGGACTACCGTTCGGGAAGGTCGTCGCGACTGGAGCGGGATCTCAATTGCGCGCATCAGCGAACGCGAAGTAAGGCGGCGGCATCTGCACGACCGCATGCTGGTGTTGCGGAACTTCCCATACGCGCGCGCGCTCACCTTCCTCGCTTGGACTGATCGTAACCGCACGGAGGAGTGGGCCAGGGATCAGTTCGGGTCCGACGTTGAATCTGACGAGGACGAGGACGACATCTCGGACCTCCCGGTCATGACTCCTGTTCATCTGGACCTTCATCACCCGGTCGCCCCTCGGCACCCCGTCGGACGTTCGCGGGTTACCCGCCTAACCGGCTTATTGCTCCCGTGGGTCTCTTGACCGCTGAATGGGGAGAGGCCTTGCAGCGACATTACGAACGCCTGCACTGGCCTGCTCCAGCACCTCCTTCTCCTCCTGCTACCGAGGCTGGAGGACCCGTTGATCACTCCTCGGTTGGCTCACCCATCGTTCCCGAAGAGGACACGCCAACTTCGACAGACCTTCATCCCGACCCTGTGGCTCCTGTACCGGTGCCCGGGCCATCTGGAGGATCTGGACGCGCCCTCGTTCGGCGCGCGTCGACCGAGTCGATGGTCAGCCTGGGTGACGAGGACGATCAGGATGATTTCATGGCCACCGACGACGTACCGCTATCGGCCGCGGATGCCGCGGATTCGAGGAAGCGACGTCGTTCCTCTTCCCCTCCTTCGCCTCGCCCGGCTCCTGATCCTCCCTCGCGCGCGACCTCTACTCCCCCACCTTCGCCATCCAAGGGTAAAGGCAAAGCCCGCGCTACGGAAAGCGAGGAGGAACGTGAGTGGGAGCGCGGCGCGCGAGCCCAGAAGAGGGCGAATGTTTCGACGAAGCGTCGCCGCGAGCGCAGAAAGAAGCTGGAGGCTCTATATCTGTCGCGACAACCTCGAGCGCAAGCTGTGCCGGATGACGCTCCCGGCCCTTCTACGCGCCGCCAAGTGCCGACCGTGCCCAACGACCTCGGGGATGGATCAGAGGACGAGGAGGAGCAGGAACACGACCGCGCCGAGTCCGCCGCCACACCGTCGAGCACGGAGCCTGAACTGCTAGCGAGGATGCGCCTTACTATCCGCGGGGCAGCAGCGAGGGAAGCTTCAACACCCGCCCTTGCCCTCCGCATGGATGGTGCTCCTGTGGCTCTGCTGCCCGGAGAACGTGCTTCGTCGTCGGATTCGGCGAGGGTTCCTCCGCCCATCTACAGCCCTAGTCGTCGTCCGATGGCTCGCACACCCGGTTGGACTGCGGCTCCATCTCGTTGGTCGTTGAGCCCACTACCCTTGGTGCCGACGGATTGGCGGGCGGAGGTTGCGGCCTTGTCGCCGCGCGTCGTCGACTCGGTGCCGGGCGTGTCTTGGCCTGCAGTTGTTCTGCCGTCCGTGGAGACCTCGGTCGCTCTCGACGGCATCATCGTCCTCTCTGAGCACGGGGCGCTTCGCTACAGGCGATGGTTGTTGACTCACGCCGAGGGGGCCACGGACGAGTTCGTGCGCTGGATGGTACAGCGTGGTGTCCGCTGGGATCACGGAGCCCGGGGTCATTTGTCTGCGCCTTCTCCGTCTGCCAGCTTCGCGGGCGCGCCTGATGCTCCCCCGGCCTGGTCTGAGTGGTTGATTCAAGTCGAAGATCTCCTCAACATGCCCCGCGCCCGCCAATTCATTCGGGACGGCGGCATTGCATGGCGCATCGCACTCCAGTTCGGCCCGCCTCATCTCGCGGCATCCGTGCTCGCAGGCCCATCTACCGAAGCCCGTTCTCCTCTACCGGGGGAGCAGTGGCATGGTGCCGATGTCGTAGTAGATCGCCCGACCACAGAGGATTACGAGCTGCTCATCGGACGTGCCGGTGGCCGATCATGGTGGCCGCACCCGGACGAGTGGGATGCTAATGTCGGACCAGGCGAGTGGACTCTGGGGCTCGAACGCTGGTTCCAAGCTCGCCTACGGGGCAGCGACATCTCGGAGGGACAGGACACCGGGTCTCTGCGTCTGCCCGTGGCCGATGGCGCTTGGCGGGCGCATCTCAGTCACGCCTTGCACGCTCGCCAGCGCCATCTGCTCTCCAGAGGTGAGGGCCGCGTGCTGCCGCACTTGCTGGCTCTGGCGGATGTGACGGACGCGATGCGTCGCTTGGACTTAGGATAGAGTGTTGGCCGCTACCAGCTCTAGGGGGGCTTTGTGGCGCCGGCCGGGGCGGATGCACGTGGTAGAGCCGGCAACGGCCGATTGGACTTCATAGCTACGCCTCGCTTGTATTAGACCATCATCTTGCATTATCATACTTTCTTGCGTATTCGCGCTCCTCCTACTCACTAAGACTACGGCTACGTCGGGAACCGACTAGCCCTAGCAGTTCGGTCGTCGCGCCCGAGAACGCGCTTATATTCGCGAGCTCGCGCTCGTTCGCTCGAACGCTCACGGCGGCCCGCCCTCGCTCTCTCGGTAACCGAGGNTGTTCCGAGGCTCTCCAGAGCCCGTTCAGCTAGTATCGCCTCGGTAGTCGGAGCTCGCTCGGTCACTCGCTCGACGACCACACACCTTTGTCACCCTCGCTCTTCCTCCGGCTCCCCTCCAGCGAGCTACTTCCGGCTCGACGTCCTCGAGCGGCGTCACAAAGGTGGACACATCCGGAACTCGCTGTTCAGCGAGCCCGAGGAATTGGCATTGATTCTACTCTAGCCGACGAATAATCGTCTCTTATCGCTACGCTATATTTCGACAATATGGATCCGCTATTTGTCACCCCGGATAGTTCTCCTGCGGGGGGCTCGACTGGTCCCTCTCCTGGTCCCTCTCGCTCTCCTCGTTTCCCTCCGGTGAAACCCGCTCATCACATCACTCCTCCCTCCTCGCAGACGTCGTCGTCGTCGTCGTCCTCCTCCTCCCGAACTTCCGTCGCGATTTCGGAGAGGCCTTCAGGCCCCCGTCGGGACGCGGAACTACGGGCAGCTGTCCAGGAGCCTATTCTAGTGGCTCCTGTCGCGATCGGCAGCCGGGCGGGTCCCCGTTTATCTGCTTCCGCCCTTGCACGCGCTGTGCTGTCAGGCTCGCCTCGCCCCAGCAGCCAATCAGGCTCCCGACAAGCATCCCCTGGCTCCTCTCTCCCCGGTAGCCAGGCTGCTTCGCCTAGGAACCCGAGCATTGCCCTGAGTGCGACGCTCCACGTCGGGCCCGAAGGCTCGCCAGCCACGCAACCTGCGAAGGCGCCTAAAAGGATGCGCGACCGACGGACGCGGAACCCGCGCGACGAAGTTTACCTTCCCCCGTCTACGCCGGCTACCGCTATCGCCACATCTTCGC